CCTTAGCAGGATGCAGCTCACCCTTCATGCGACTCGCCAAATACCTCACGGCGCTTCGCGCTTGGTGATGTGAGAGCCTGGTCCGGTGAGAACCCCGGCGTGCTCCGTCCCGGCTTTGTAGGGATGCGAGGTCAATGGTCAAACGACTACGGCATGCACGACTATGAGTACACCCCCCCCCCCCCCCCTCCCGCGCGCCCCCCCGGCCTCCGTGAAATCCGAGGCAACAGCTGGTGTGCGTGGAGACTGTGCTGACGGACGAGAAAAAGGTGTGGGACAATGTCAAGGAGGCCAAGCTTAAGAGCCCAGATTACACAGGGATGACACCGGAGGAGGCCATGGAGGTGAGGGAGAGGACTTCGTATTTCAGTGAGGGGGCGTCAACAACGCCGGATAAGTCGCACCGCACCGCTGGCTCTGTACAGCCCCGGTGAAATTGCCGGGCACAGACGCACAGACTGAATCACCAAGTCATGCTGTACTCTGAATTTCGCCGGTCGATTCGCCGGGCACACGCGGGCGTTCGTTGTTGAGGGCCCACTACTGCAGTTGTTTTCTGTTGAAAGCTTTCGGGTCGGTTGCCCCTCTGTGTTGTTGGTGCTGTGATCTGTTCAAGAGTCGGTACTGCTGGGTAAGGCACGACACCAGGGGAGGGGAAGGGGGTACGGGGTGGTGAGACAACGCCGCTTTTTTTCCCATAAACTCGGCCTTCCATGTGCTTTCGTAGCCCGGGGTCCGTACGTCTTTTACGTATCGATGCCCATCAGCTGTGTAAATGTTGTGTCGGATTTTGGTACCCCCGGATAGGCATGCTGCGATAGCCCCATCTCTTGCATACCGAACACGAGCGGGCGTCTTGCTTCTTTCCTTCGCCGCCGACCTAGTATTCGGTCGCAGCCCGCCCGCATGTGATACATCCACGCTCGGCCCCGTGATTTCTCTGGCTGTGATTTCTTTAGTCCGATTTCTCGCCATTTCTACATTAATGGCGAGCTGTCGTGTCCTACCGCATGCTATTCTGTTTTTGTGTTTTTTTTCGTACTTGTATTGTGTTTGCTCTCTCAAATCACCAACTTGTTCTTTCTCGGCACATACCGTGCTTTGTTTTTTGTTTTTTTTCGTACTTGTTTTGTTTGTGCGCTTTCAAGTATACCCAATTTAGCAGCCTTTCTCGACACTTTTCGCCTGACTCCGTTCCCTTGGCCCTCTTGCCCCGTCTCTCGCGTTGTGCCCTTGTCTCATTCCACGTGGGGGATAACTTCGTTGCCCTTGGTTTGGCTGTGTGGGTGGTACTTGCTCACCGCATCACCTTATGACGACGATGCGTCCTGCGCGCGGTGTGCGTCAGGACTTCTTCAAGCGGATAGCCGCCTACAAGAGCGTTTACGAGGTAAGACAAGTCTAAAAATACATTACATGACACCGGCGGCAGTATAGGCAGGCGTGTTGCCATTCCGTGGCTGCTGCAGCTGCTCTTACAGCCCCATGATTCTCCGTGCTTGATTAATTACCATGGTGTTATTTACTTCGTGGTGCTCGTCACGTTCCGATGGTTGAGCATGCACCCTTTTTTCTCTCTCTCTCGGCGCCTCTGCCAAATTGCCGCTCGCTACCTCTCTCGCTGCTGTTGTTGCCTGTGTTTCTTTTGGTGGTGCTCGTGGTCCGTGTCTGTGGCGACTCTCCTGCGGGTGACGACTCTCCCACCGCCCCCCGATGGCGATGGTCTGGCGGCTGGTGGCCGTGCAGCCTTGTCAGCAGGAAGAGGGTATCCCTTTCATCCGACTCACCAACGCCGGCGAGCAAGTGCTAGGCTTCAAGACGCAGGGGTTCCTGTGCGCCCGCATCATGCAGGTGCGAGCGCGCCAGCCAGCGAGCGCCCCCTTCGGAGAAGGAACGGGGGTGTCGATTGTTTTTTTCCCGCCGTTGTCGGCTGTGTTGTTGTTGTTGTTGGTGGTGGTGGTGGTGGTGGTGGTGGTGACGGAGGTGTCGGTGTCCTTCACGGGTGCAGCTTCGTTTTTCGTCGGCAAGCGTACCAATCCGACACCCTCTCCGCCAGGTTTCCACTCCGCATGACAACCAACCCCGGTTCCGCCAAAGCTCGAGACCCCGCCTCTCCTGATTTGCCGGGGCACCCCTACATTTCCTGGGGCTCTCCCCCCCCGTCCCTACCCCCTACTACAGCTGATAGATAGTCTTCGCCTCAGCTTGAGACCCATCCTCCTGACTCGTTGTGGGGAGTGCGAGTTCGAGGCTCAGGGACGGATCGGAGGCGATAGCCGGCTCACCCCTGTGGGGCACTTGTACGCCGAGGCTTTGGCTCGAGGATTGCTCCAGGTAGGTCATTTTCGTGCTTTGTTCTTGCGCTGTTTTGTCGTTGTTGCTGGCAGTGCTGCTCCTGTTGATTCCCAAGTCGGCGCCGGGGGTCCCGCTGTGGTCGCCGTCGTTGTTGGTGCTGTTGTTGTTGTTGTTGTTGCTACCGCCGCTGATGATGGCAAGGTGCTCCAAACTCGCACGTGTTTAATCCTGGAATGCATGCACGAACATGAACAACAGCAGGCGGCGGATATCGTCGGTCTTGTGTAAAAAGTGGATCGCACTTAATAGACGATCCTGACCCCCCCCCTATCTCTTGCGTATTTTTTTCCTCGTCTCCCGTGCTGTTTTTCTCCCCCAGGGCCGCAAGCGGTATGGCATCCTTCCCGTAGTCTGGACTTCCACCCGGTGAGTTATAGCACGCGCCGACGCAGATCGCGACGTACGGCAAAGACAGTTTATTGGCTACCCCGGCTCGGATGCACGCCAAACAGTGTTGTTGCATCTCGAGGGGTTTGTCTCTGGAACTCCTCTACCTAAGGTGACGAAGTCGGGGGTCGCCTAGGACTCTTGCTGACTGTTTGTAGAAAAGGTGAAGGCTTGCTTTTTTCGAAACGGTTCATCTTGATCTTCTTTTAATGTACAGAAAAGTGTTTTGTAGCGTGCAGCACGAACAATCTGCTCCGGCGTGCAGTTTGTGTTTGCCCCTACCACTTTTCGCCTCCCGCCCCCCGCCGCTTCAGTAACCTGGACTTGGCGGACACATGATCACTCGGAACATTACCAATACAGGGCATACCATCACACGAAACACTTTGACGCCCACCATGAAACATAACTTGCGTAGTGTATCTAGATGGTTCTAAATAGTGAAGGTGACATGATGGACGACCATCGACCTCCACACGGCGGTGGCTACCAACGGCCAGTAGCAAATCCCCACCCTTTCGAAGTGGCCCTTGACCGCGATAATCCCGTACGAATCCACAGCAACAACAACAACAGCAACAGAAAACATGACAATTTGAATCCAATCCCAAATCATCGCCATGTGCACATGTGCACGCCTGTTGTATGTAGGACCCGGCACGAAACACCGGAAGACAAGCCTTACCCTTGCCTCCGACGCTCTTGGCCTCGGCATCAACGTCATCATATCATCAGGTTACGAGCGAGACAAACAGTGATCGGCCTGCAGTCTGCCGTCAACGACGCCAATGAGGAGGCAATAGCAGAGGGGGGGGGCAGTGAGGACGGGGGAGAAGACCAGGGTAACGGCGGCGGCGCCGGCGGCGCCGGCGGGGACGGTCGTCGTGGCAAGGGGTCAGGCTCCCTGCTGCGCGACTTGGACGTGCTGGAGGTGTCCGCTCTAGACGAGGTATGTGGGTCCGTTTGCGGTGCGGTCCGCGCGCGAGAGGCTCGTCCCAGCGTGTTTGAGGGTTAAGGGGTTCTCTGCTTGGCTCGGGCCCAACTTCGTAGGCCCCCGCTCTGGTAGGTTATAATGTCGACGATACGATTGCGGTTCGGTGGAGGACTTGTGTCCGGGGCATTATGTTTGTCTGGGAACTCCCTCAGAAACATCCGCTCCACAAGGTATATGTTAGTGGTGACTTTCCTGCACGGTCTCTGAGCGGTGGTACTGTCAACACGCCGCTGCTCCACGCTTTCTTCCATTTCGGGTTGTGGGCGACAGGATCAGCGTAGCAGGGCCGCTGTAAGCAGGAGGCAAGGAAAGGTAGACAGACGATGTGGGAGAGAGGGCACACGATGGTGATTGATTGTTGCAAAGCACGCCAAACATTCACATGTCGTGCACAACGGCGCGTCTGCCGGGTACGGAAGTTACAGCAGGCAGGCCTGCCTATGCATCTGCAGGGCTTTATCATGTATGGTGCCCCTGTTTTGTGAGGGAGTCTCCTTTACCGCACTCATTCATCCCGTCCCTCCGTCCTTCTGTACCTGCTGCCTTGCTGTGTGTGTGTGTGTATTGTGTTTTGTGTTTTGTCACCTGCGACAGATCGATGCCGGAGCTTTGGAGGGAATGTATGCCGAAGATTTCGCGAAGGCGAGTCGTGGTTGTGTTGGCCGCTACTGTGTGCGTGCCTCTGTAATCTCCAACCGCTCTTGTGGTGCTGTATCGGTGGCGTACGACTGCCTCGCCCTAGCTTTGTTTTCGTGCGTCCGAGAATGAGTCGGACCTACACATTGATCTTCATCTATATACAGTTTGGTGAAGTTTCCATCCGTTACTTGATGCGTTTGTCAGCCTAGACAAGCAACCGCGGGAAGGAGCCGGCCGTCCATGCTTATATCAGTTCCATGTTTGGGAAAATTTCTGCTTTGAGGTCGTAGCGGTGCGTAATTGTGAAGACGGCTGCAGCAACGACAAAGGCGACGCCCATAAGAACATGAGAATGAACGACAACAATATATCTGTTGACGGACCATCCCGCCATCCCATGCCGCTATCCCATCCCATGCACTCGGTCGACAACGCCCGGTGGAACACGACGCAAACACTCAACAACCACGTCAACAACGACTCGGACTCGGAATCAATACAACGGATGAACATCGTCCCGTGAACGGAATGGGTGGCACCGGCGATAATTACACAACGCGATGGTTGCTGATGACAACCGCAGCACTACCCCGAGCAGCACAAGAAGAGGGTGGCCGACAAGCTTAACGTTAAGGTGCGCGTGCCGCGGTGTGACCAAAATTGGTCTTAATAGCCGTGGTGTGTACCGAGGGTGTGTGGGGGACGGGCACTAGGGTACTAAATTTAGGGTTAGACTATTTTCGGACTAATTATTTGGCCGCGAAATGCGGGGATGCGAGGTGAGCATGCCCACTTTACCCTTGTTCGAAACCAACTTATCTCTGCCCTTGTGTACCCCCTCTATCCCGCCCAGACACGCATTTCCCTGAACAACAGACGGCAGTGGGGGTCGGCCCTGTTGAAGCATATAGTCATGTGTCTCGCTTTCATTTTCGTTTGTTGCATGTGTGATACTGGTGTGGTCGCTCGGCTCTACTAGATTCTTCAGGCTTGAGAGTGTATCTGCACCTGTTTGGACTCGGTTAGGCAAGAGTCGCGTTCACGCGACGCTAGTGCAGCAGTCAGGTCGTCTGCGTACCCGGGAGGTGCGTGCTCCTGCGGCTGTTTTTCTGCGTCCCTCAGGGAGGCGAAGAACCACATAGACTTTCGATGAGTCACCATACACCTACCGTGGGTCGCATAGTACACAACACCCCCTTTTTGATCGATTTCCAAAGCTCGATTACTCTGCAGCGAAAACAGCGGCGACGGTGCCGAAAATGGCGGCGTTGGGACTACTTTGCTGCATCGTGGAGAGCATTCGGACAACGTGTCGTTTGGTATTGGCATCATCGTCGCCGTGGAGGAGTCGGGCGTTGAAAGTCGATCCAGGGGGTGTGGTATCTTGTGTCATATCACCTACGGCAAGCTCTCACCCCCCCCCGGACCTCTTATCGCCGTGGTAAGGCAATCTTTTTCGTTTCTTGTGTGGTATGATTTGCACCTACCCCTAATTCGCTTTTGCTGCTGTTTGCGTTTTTTTGCAGTTCCCTGATGGAGAGAACTACAGGGACGTGTTCGCGCGACTGGAGTCGCTCTTGCTTGAGATGGTTGCGGAGCCTCAGCCCGTTGTCGTGGTCGCGCATCTCGCCGTTCTTCGGGTGATCTACGGGTGAGATTAACGTTTTGTTCTTGTTCTTGTTGTCGTTGTCGTCGTTGTCGTCCTAGTTGGTGTTGTGTGTTTGTTGCTGGTTTCGCTTTCGACATCGTCGTTTGTTGTTGTGGTTGTGTATATGCTGTTGTTGATCTAATGCTACGTACCTCGTGTGTTTCCTTTTTCGTGTTCCGTGGCACTAGCTTTCCGTTAAAGGCGGCGTAATATTGTGGTCACACGCGAACGAACAAATCGGCGTTTTCCACAATGCTTGACCGGTGCTTGGTGTCAGCGTGTCTTCCGATGTTCCTCCAGAACGCGGTTGACGTGTTCGCTGTTCCCCTTCCCCGATGCTGTCTATGGCGACCTAGATTTATTTTTTACGACGAGAAGTCATGTGTCACGGCGATCTCCTTAGCAGGGATGTAGATCGCCACAGGATCAAGTGGCATAAACTAAACAAAAACAATAAGAGAACACGACAAACGTAACCGGAGAAGAACAGGAACGGCTGTGATGTCATCGTTATCGTTCAACGGGGTGCGTTCAACAAACTGCCTGTTTGCCATCGCTATCCAGCCAGCCCATTTTACCCTTTGGTGAGTTCTTCTGTTCGTCAGTACGGCCGTGGAAATCAAGCCGGATCACTTTACGCCGAAAACACAAAGTGCAATACTTTCAATACTGACAAAGAGCACAACGGTTTTGAGCACCGCTGGCTTGCTGGCCTCGTTTGTATTCCCTCAGGTACTTGAAGGGGGTCGAGCCTGCCCAGTGCCCACACCTGAAGATCCCCATGCACTGCGTGGTACAGCTGAATCCCAAGGGGTACGGGTACGAAGAGTGGAGGTGAGCCGTGGTGGTGGCGGGTTTCCATCAAATGCACGGGTCGGGCGTGTTCATAGAGGCACTCTGTCCTATGCGCATACATACGCGAGAAACATAGGTGGCCAGCACGTTCGAAGGGGGCGTCGAAACTGACGGTGTTCAAAAATGCCGTCTGTGCGTTTGACTCTAATTTAGAGCTTTTGCCAGAACCACGATGGTTACCCATATAATTTTCCTCTCTCAACCATTGAGAAGAAATCTGGAAAAGAAACGGAGATTGTTTTTGAGAGGTTCAACGACGGCATCGAAGGGTTGGCATGGTGTTTCTTTCAAGGACTAGAGTAGTCAGGGCCTACAGCGGTCCGAACCGTTTTACGCCGCTGCTGCGATAGGTCGCGTGCGCGTGTTTCGTTGAAAGAGCTGAGCGATATGCTCGAGCGCTGACCAAAGTTGTGCGTTGCTTCGCGACCAGCGGGTGCCCCGCTTTTGTCGTGACCGCAGATGATGCGCATGCATTTTTATCATGAGCCAGAGCCGTCATTCGGATGTAAACTACGGTGGTTGGGCACATGGGTGTAACAAGCCCAGGGGGAGGAGGTCTGGAGTGTTGAGAAAATGGTGCTATCTTGCTGATTTTGCCACGAGCAAGGATACAATCAATGTTGGCGACGCTCCTTCGTACCGACAATGCCGTCAACGGCAAAAAAAAAAAACGAGTCGGGGCAAATACACAAAGGAATGCCCCCCCCCCCCCCCCCCCCCCCCCCCC